CCATTGGTTGTAAATAAAAGATATCGCATTCACAAATTTAATTATTGAGCAGATACTGAGCATCTTAATCAACGGTACTTTAATCACACGTACAAGCTTTATAACGGTATGATAACTGATACAACATAACGAATGACACCGAAGAAATATCACATCATTTGGCTCTTCGTTCTTCGGCAAAGTTTTTTTCAGCGCGACCTGCAATAAATTGGTTCATACTCTAGAGTAGAGCTATCGGTAATTTTTAATAACCTATTATCTGGCAGTTATGGTAAAATTTTTCACCTGGAAAGTTAGCTATAACTGAAAATCTATTAGTAATTTTTTTCATGAGTTTTTTCTGTTATTTGTAACAATTATCCTATATGTATGATTTTTCTGTTGCATCACCGGTTGCCGAGATTCACTGATAATCAGTCACTGCAGTGTGGCATATTTACTGCACCATTTTCCTCCCTTAAATGTGAAATTGTTTTCAACTGTCGTCAATAATGAAAGTACGGGACTTTGTAAAAGGTATTTTAGCTCATGCTTCGATAATATCAGTGAGGTCGGATTGAAAACCCTGGAGATGACGCCTTCAGTTGTAGCAGGGAGCAATGCCTCTCTTAGCCGTTAGTTCCCTTAATCAACGAAGTTATAACACTGTAAGAGCTCATTCGGTAGACTGCAAGAGTAAGAGCCGAGTTATCGCCGGTTCGACCGCTGGAGGTCGAATCACTACCCCATATTCGTTCCGAGGTTGAGAGATGAGTACCAGGGCGTAACAGGAGACTTTACACTATCTTTGTCACTTAATTACTCTTGACTGTGCGGTTAAAAGTTTAATTCATGGAAATGGAAATCAGAGCCTAACTCTGATCCTTATGAAATATTCTAGAAGACCGACGTTGCAAAGGTAAAATCTTCTTCTTTCTAACGCTCATATCGTTAATTCAGAAATTGTTTTGCACGCAGGACTATATTAAATCATATGCATTTTCAAGCGGGTTTGTGGAAAAGAAACATAATGGAATTAAAATTTTGAGAGGAGCCTTCGAACGTCTATCTATATCGTACAAAAAATTTCTAGAGAGCGTTGCAAGTATTGCAAGATCAGCACTTGGGCGGAATTAACTTTTCAATTGCTCATCAATCAACGAGCATAGTAGAATCGTATGAAGCTTGCAGATCAAAATAATATTTGGTGATCATCTACTTTGATCTACCTAAAATCACTCGATCGTAGTCAATAATTCATGTCTTCCCCTCTTTATTCAGAGATTAATGAGGTAAAATATGTCATTGATTTGTGTAAACATGCTTGAGCGGACTTGAGTTACGTCATTTAAGTCACTTATAATAATAATCTTTCAAAACATCGAATAAGGTACATGATGCGGGAGATGATATGATGATTACCACAGCATAAAATCTTTGAAAGTATAAATAATTTGCATGGTTAACACTGTTTTGAAGTGGAAGGAAACAGAGGTGTAGTCTGCAGTTATTTAGGTACTGGTAAGCTGAGAGGGATGAGATAAACCTATTGGACAGCGAAATGACCAGATTAACTAGAGGTGCTGCATTCACATGATCCGGTGATTAAATAAAGGGAATAACCTTAATGCCACAAAAATAATATGTGTATAAATAGCCAGATGCATTAATATGATGAAGCACAAATAGGAATAAAACCAATGTAAATCATACATTGCAGGGAAGCAGAAGCGTCCGTAACGGCGAGGGTATGAATGGAATTAGTTTGCCTTAATATAATTATTATAGTTATTTCCCTAAATAAGCTATCATCTGTATCATCATCTGTTTCGGCTCAGATGATTTAAGTTAAATTTAAGTTTTAACATTAATATTAATTAGTATTTCACATTACGTCGAAAGGTAACAACTAAGGTTGTACGGTACCTGTTGAATTAAAACTGATAGCCCAGGTTTCCGAAAGAGTCATCAGCAGCTTCGCGAACACATTCGACTGTTTGCAAGGTGACAGCTGAACTTGAACGTTAAGCGCTTCTAGACAAGTTTCTCCAATTCTTTCAACCTCGAGTGGAGAGTGTAATCCAGGAATACCTGAAATAGTTTAATGGTATTTGTGTTCCATGTATTTGAGTATACCGCAATTTCTCCGTACGTACTTTCCCTGAGTAAACAAATGGCACACAAAAGGGCTATTTCTTCAGTTGTGACTTCGAGCGCTTTCATAGTGTTCGACAGATTGCAAATGCAAGTCCATAGCTTCTCTTCCTCATCATCAATGCTCATGTGATTTGATGGTTGGTTATCGTTGGTACAAGCGCTAAAGGCACAAACAATAGCCTGAAAGTAAATGCAGCGCAAAGTGGAGCCGAATGATACAGTTAAAAGTTAAATGAATACCATGATGCGAGCCGAAGCGTTATGGCAAAGTAGACTCTTATCCGCTTCAATGAGTTCATGAAAGCCAGGGATCCTGCTGGCGAAAGATAGCGTTCGCTGGTAGCAGCTGTTCTGTTCATTCTTAAAGTAAAAATTAGTGAACTCAGCTTATCAATATAAGAACAAATGTACCTATTTGAGTAAAAAGGGCCTCAGAATGGAGTAAATTATGAACTTTAAGTTAAAATGTATTAGTCCAAAAAGCACAAGCTGGTAACCTAACGTCCGTAATAATGACGAGTTAAGGATGTAAGATTGGGCTTACCGACTTTCAAAACTAAATTCATGGACGAATATCTATGAAAAAATCATTCTTTTTAAAAGGTATTCGATTATATATCTAATAGCGCATACGTTAAGAGGTAATTATTTTGGCAGCTGTTACGTCTAGTTAATGCTATACGTGATTGATCTAGCACTTCTAATCTTCATTTAAACTCACTTTCCTTCTTTAGTTATTTTTTTCAAACATACGCATTAGACAGAAACCGAAGAGCGAAGTAACAACCTTCGGACTGAAAAGGAATCACTGAATCGCTAATGGTATTGATTTCATTGCGAAACATGGAAATACTCGTTGAACATATGGATTCAATGATCTTAAAAGTTTTTAATACACCAGCACGATAACAGCTATCGTTTGTAAGATATAATTGTTGAATACACGCTCTACCAGGAAACATTAACATTCGCAAACACCCTTATATTTCTATAATTTTTTCTTGTCTGCTGAAAATACAGGTACTTTATAATCATAGAGTTTACTGTATCAGAACTGACAATTTGATAGAGTAAGATGTTTGATCAGAAGGTAGTTATTTGCAGACGACTAGCAAATATGAAAGTACTAAGCTAATCGTAACAAATGACTTGCGATGTTTAAAATTCCGTTTCCATAAAGGCTATTTGTTCATCGTAATTATCAGTGCACTTACCTCTGTGTCTGCTGCGGAAAGCGCAAATTCACTTTCTGTGTCTCCCCAGTATTGGCAATATCGATACGCCTATAAGTCATTTGTAATAGCTTGTTACTGAACCGAAAGTCTTAAATAGGATGCAATGAATATTTTTCGACGCAAAAGTCATTTCTAAATGATTGCCAAATTTTGTTGCTAGAGAATGAAAGTGCAAATCATCAAAAATTTTAAGGAATAAACGAGAGATTATGTAAGACATGATATCTATAATAATCTGATCATTTTTCTGATTATTTTATGAAGAATCGATTTCACGATGAAATCTGCATAGGTTGTTTATATTATCACATGTTTTATTATATAAAATCGAACCAGAGACATTTTTCCCAAGCAAGTTTCTTGGAATGTTTGAGATGTTGGCAAATGTTGTCACAAACGTGAATACAGAAATATCTATGCACTTATTTAAAAAGCGATGGGAACTGTAGTTGTCTCTGGAAACTTTATCTAGATGGCAGGCCTATTTTCTAAGCAATATTTTTGTTCTCTTTGCACCTTGGAATACAGCCAGCTTAGAAACCGTAAAAATCGACCATCTGTCAAGCTGAAAGTTGATCTTGTGGTAACTGTTCCAGGTCGATTTGGGGAAAGAAAGTTGGAAAATAAATATAATTACAACTGAAGACGTTTTTCTGTCATAATCAATGGAATCGACTCACCTGCATGTCAGAATCATGGAGGTTTTCGTTATATGCCTTTACTATACATCGAATAGTCTGCTGCAGCTGCGAGGTGGCAATGACACTGTCGTCGTTGGCCTTCAACTTCCGTTTCCTGTTTCTATCCTGTCGAACAGCTGAAACGGTAACCATGGATACGCGGCTCGTTTGTTGGTCGTTGCAAATACTTACATTCCTTAGTCATGCCTGTAGTGAGGCATTTGCCGAAGCGACACGCCTGACATCTGTTTCGTGTTAGCTTCGTGACAGGACAACCCCCGTTTTTGTGACACCAGTACTGAATATCTCGCTGAACGGTTCTTCGGAAGAATCCCTACAGCATACTCATTAATACAAAAACCAAGAAAACAGGTATATGCCAATACCCTATGTGAATGCTTACCTTGCATCCCTCACAAGAAATAACTCCGTAGTGATAACCGCTAGCCGCGTCGTCGCATACGACGCATTTCACGTTCGCGTCCAGTGGCAAAGATAGTGATTTAGGACTGCTGGAGGAGGAGAGACTAGTAGAGAGAGGGGAAGAGCTGCAGCCCTCGCCCGTTTCTTTGTTTTGTTGGATGAACGTTTCACAATGAACGAAGTCTTCTTTCTTCACATCAACCAAATTGAACGGTAGATGTCTTTCATTTTCCTCCGTTGACGATTCATCTTCCCTCTTGACCTCCGGATTAATGTCTACGTGGAATGACTGTCTGACTGTTGCTGTCTGTTCTGTTGCTACATAATCGTCCGGTCGGTGCAGCTGAACCGGACTGAAGGCAGATGGAAAAGTAGTACCAAATGATGAATATAAGTTGGGGAACGGCAGGCTGTTCATCAGCGATCGAGCGTAAGCGAAGTAGGCATGAGATGAGAACCGTGGAGGCATGGAAACCATAGGATAACCGAAGGTTGGTTCCGGAGGAAAGGGCACTCTTCCAACGGGAGAGAGTCTGGCCATCGCCGTCTCCCTCTCAACACACGACGAGGAGTCGCTGAGAATTGCGGACACGGAGAACGGATTCAACAGTTTAGTCTTCCGTTCGCTTGCACTGCTACTCGTCCTCGGACGGCCGAACGGAGTATCAACATCGTCTTCCGGAAATGGGCTGAATCCGTTGCTGCGGGCAGATGGGCCGCTTGAAAAGCTATCGTGGCTTCCCGAGGGGCTATGACTGGAGTGTCCCCTGGAAGACAACAGCAACTTCTCCTCCTCGTTTCGGCGAAGCAGTGATTCAAGAATCGTTCGAGCATCGTCTTGAGATTCATAGGCGGTTAGCGGGAGTTTCACTACCGCCTCGTTTAACCTGTGATGATCCAATAGCCACATTTAAATTGCTTTCAAGTCCATCGACTGGACTGCCGCCGCCAAATGCAAGATTGAACAAGTTCGGTGTGACCGTTCGCAACGACTAATGCCCTTGTGGCATTATCCTGACCGTCAAGGCTTAGTGGGCATTTCGGGGCGCCAGCTTACACTTCGTGTCAGCATATGGCTGCCTACCGACCGAAGCCACCAATGACAAAGCGGTCACAAGGGTGTCAGTGGCTGAAATGTGAAAAACAAGCTAAATATAGCTCACAACCTGGAAAACAACCTAAAAATAGAATAGTCTGTCCGGTCAGGGCTATTCTTGCTCATTGGAGGTGGCCCTTCGACCGCAGATCTAGGTCGTCGAGCAACTGGCATTCACGTGACCGCCATTTACTCAAACAATCGCCAGCGACCAAGCTCCTTCACCCTCGAAAACAAGTTACATAAGTTGTTTCCAACTGAACTCCGTTGTTCCATCGTCTCTGTACGTTGGCCCTTTTCCAACGTCCTTAACATTAAGCCTTAGAGCAGAGGCAAAATATTTTAGAAATTTCTAAAATTACGAAACCTGTCCTCTCTCCCAAATGCTACACAAAGAAAAGTCAAATCAATAAAATAAGTAGCGTTTACAGGAAAAGTCGTGTAATGGGACTATGTATATTTTGGAATTTGACCACCACCAGAAAACTTTCTAATCTATCTTACGCCAGACTGGAAAGCTATAAATTATGCAATTAATTATCTGTTTAATATATAAAATTACATTAAACGAATCAGCATGGCTAACCGATAAGTCCTAATTTAGCACATTGCTAGGCTAGAGACAAATTAACCAGTGTGATAATCCATTTATTTCCAAGTATGTTTCAGAAACCATTCCTCTGAGACTACACTTGCTGTTGGATATGTACTTCACCTCATATGCTTGCCTGACCATGAATTGACCAATTCTGAATAAACCTTGATCAGTGTCTTGTACTTAAGGTAATCGCAGCTAGAACCAGAAATGGCCGGCCGTTTGTCATCACGCATACGAAGCACTTCTGAGAGGAGAAGGCTATTTATGACCACAGTGATGAAATCCTCATTACGTTTGCGGATGAATTGGGATCCCCTGGCAACAGTTATCACACAAAAGATAAAAATCCTTCTACCTTGGTGGCGAGCAGAGGAAAGCATCTGTATTTCTACATTCCTAAACACAGATGGAATGATGACGGAACTTCGACGATTTAGTACAAGCAGAATCTTCAGTCGTCATGGAGCGAGCCATCCATTTGATGAACAGATATATTTCACAGAAATGTTTGAATCTCATGGCTGCAATTAACATATCGTTTTACGATTCATTAAGGGCAGTCGTAGCAGCGGTGTGATCTCGTGTAATCCGAAACAGCGTCCATCCCCTGACCTTTACGAAATGTATGACCAGCTGACTTTCTAGTGACTCTTCGATCGCTTCATCATTGTACTGCACTTAGGCGCAATATATGCTGCTGATACTGGCAATGTAATTCGCCCACAGCGGTATGGAACCAGTTGACTGAGTTGACTGACAGCTAACATGAGGTGTGTAATACTTTCTACCTGACAATCATTTAGCCTAACCTATATCTCAGCCTTGCAAGGGTCATTGCAGTTTGTAATATCACCGGAGTAATTCGCAGCAATCGTGGAAGATGTTTCAAAGAGAGTCCATTGATGGAATCAGGGGCAGAAAATATTTAGGCGCTGCTGAAGCCTCCTATGGTTTGTGGACGATGGACGATATTCTGATCTTCGCAAGGCTACCAGAAAGGTTTCGAAGAAGAATCCAAAGCTGAATGCTGAATACCATCACCAAAACGTGGCTGAAAATAAACCTAAGGATGACCATTAAGATGTTCAACAAACACGCGACTGCACGACCTGTTAAGTCTGTTGACTTAGAGTCGAAGAAATGCAAGATTAGGTATACTGTACTTGGGCCATCTCATCTCTGCAACAGAGAACCAACTTTGTGGAATCAACAGAAGAGTTAAACTGGCATGGTGCAACCTTGAAGACCGAAACTGTTGCTAAGTGGCAAACAGCACTTGTACTTGAAACAGAAAGTATTCGAGTAGTGCGCGTTCCCAACGCCAACCCTCGGACGAGGAAGATTCACCACTGACCAAGCATGAAGACAATTCACCGAGGATAGACTGCGCAACACAACAAGGAAAAGTTATGTTGGATTTAATAAGAAGAAATAGGAAGTCGAACGAATTGGTGAGCGTATGAGCCAAAATGTGCGTTCACATTGGAAACTAGCGAAGAAGTTGAAATGGCAATGAGCAGCATGAAAGGACCATCGCCGGAGCAAAGAAAGTAGAAGGTAACCGGGAAGACCTCCAGAGGATGATCTGAAGATTTATTTACTTTTGAGGGAACGTGGACATGAATCGAATTATATGGCGAATTCTAGGATAATCACTAGTCAGGTAGTAGATAGAAAACGATTGACTGTGAAGATAGTAAATTAATTCTGCTTCAACACAATGTACAAAAGGTTCCCTTCCCACAGTTACATGTTTTTCAGATTTTATGACGTTTCGAATTGTTCTGTGACACGAACAGCTATAAAAACTGATTGTTTAATGAACAACACTTCTATGATATGTACCTAGAGACGGACACGGTATCAATTCATAAAACGTTTATCTGCATGGTTTATTCCCTACATTTGATTATGTTGATGAGCGTTAGGCACCACTGAATACCATTAAGTAATATTAATCTTTATATTCTTCACTTTCAATGCGGTTACTAATAGCTCGTTCTTCTCCATTCATGGCCTGAGTTACAAAAGTATTTGTCTGAAGCTGAGGTTTGATTTGGAGCTGTATTTAGTCAGCCTGTAGTTGCGTGCTAACTCGCAATATGCTGTAAAGCAAATTACAGTTCAACCACGATGCGCCCAACTCTTGCTACGTGCCACAGACTAAAGTTGTTTAAGTGGTTTTAAATAAACTCTAATGAAATGGTTGCTGGCTTGAATTCGCTAGAATGCTTGGTATATATTCAGAAATCCATTTCTTTCGCATGTTCGAAATTAACTCTTTCTTTCTATCGTCCAATTTCAAAAGAAAGGTCGTTTGACCGTTGACTATTGGGCATTTGGCCCATGACCGCACTAACGTTCAACCCGCAACCTCAGAGAATATGAAACGGTATTATGAGATTCAGGCAGAATTTGACTCGCCGTGTTCGCCGAGTTTCGTATCGCGCCAAAACGCGGTTCAGGCGAATCATCGTGGCATTGAACCCGGTCGGTCGGTCAGTATCCTGCGTACCCATGA